ACCCACGATTTTACAATTTGAGCGGTTAAGATTTTTATTGCTAGCATTAACGCGTCTCTCTCATGTGATCCTTCAAGTAAGTCACAATTCTAATTTTATCCTAAAAATATTTATATTATCCTTCACTATAGACTATAAAAACAGATATCAGATTAATGCTTGTACTTTATGGGGTAAATCACACAACTAAATTATTAACTTGGTTTTATTTTATTTTATGTCATTTTAAATTACTTACTAAAGTGAAATAACAATATCATATGATTAAATAGACTTATAATTTTTTGCATTGACTATAAATTCTAATTATTTATTATAGAAACAAATTTAATTAAAAACTTATTTACATACATGGCATATTTTGCTCTGCCATAGCTTACTACATACAAAGTGTAATCATAAAAACCAAGGGCCCTGTTTTAACAGCTTCCAGTCCATTATGTCATATTATGGTTGAAATTCTGAGCCATTTCTTTCTACATGAGCCTGTGTATACCAGAAGGTGATCTTACAATTCATTTTTCTATTAAATAATAATTCCTTAGATTTTTTTTATCAAAATGAACTAATTCTATTATAATCATTCTATATATTGTGATATATCTTTTTATGACAGATTTTTAACTTTCTTTCTTTTAAATAAAAATACAAATTCATTATTGTTCTTTGACAAATTTTTATTCCACCATTTATTTTCTTTATTTTCTTTCTACATCCTCTTATTTTTAAAATATAGCTTTATACTACTATATATATTTTTATTTGATCAATTTTTTTATAATCAATTAAACAATATATAAATATTGTCAATTTATCACTTTATGCGCGCACGCACACAAATGTATTGTAGTAAAATTCAAATTAAAAGGAATGTAGTTAACAAATAGAAATGAATCCACCTTATTATACAACGTGGTATGTAGCCATATCCATGTTATATTTATATTGTTTCAAGAAGGCTTCGGCCAAGTCCCTCCATGTTCGGATAAAGTGCCTCTTCAAGCTCTTGTACCACTTCAGATACACCCAAATCAAACTGTCCTGGAAATAATAAATAAACAACTTATCATTTCTTTCATGGGCCTCCATTTTGCATAAGTACACTGTGGCTTTTATCTATTCAATGAATTTAAAAAGGTTAAATTCATTTATAATATAGAACCAAGGGAGTAATTTATTGGAGTGAAAGTCACAACTACATCGTTTATCATTACTCTTAGCAATCTCATTCCAGCCATCACCTTTATATTATCTTGGATTTTTAGGTAAAAGATATTATAATATTAAAGTTTATAAATATTTATATTATAAAATGTGTAGTATAATTATCTATTTATTTATTATAAAGGCGTGAGAGGATAATTTTTACTGACAGAAGAAGCCAAACAAACATATTTGGGACTCTAGTTGCTGTTTCAGAATCCATGGCCCTATACTATTTGGAAAGCATGAAGGATTTAGGGAGTCGTTCGGAAGTTCCAACACCCACGATTTTACAATTTGAACGGTTAAGATTTTTATTTCTAGCATTAACGCGTCTCTCTCATGTGATCCTTCAAGTAAGTCACACTTCTAATTTTATCCTAAAAATATTTATATTATCCTTCACTATAGACTATAAAAACAGATATCAGATTAATGCTTGTACTTTATGGGGTAAATCACACAACTAAATTATTAACTTGGTTTTATTTTATTTTATGTCATTTTAAATTACTTACTAAAGTGAAATAACAATATCATATGATTAAATAGACTTATAATTTTTTGCATTGACTATAAAGTCTAATTATTTATTATAGAAACAAATTTAATTAAAAACTTATTTACATACATGGCATATTTTGCTCTGCCATAGCTTACTACATACAAAGTGTAATCATAAAAACCAAGGGCCCTGTTTTAACAGCTTCCAGTCCATTATGTCATATTATGGTTGAAATTCTGAGTCATTTCTTTCTACATGAGCCTGTGTATACCAGAAGGTGATCTTACAATTCATTTTTCTATTAAATAATAATTCCTTAGATTTTTTTTAATCAAAATGAACTAATTCTATTATAATCATTCTATATATTGTGATATATCTTTTTATGACAGATTTTTAACTTTCTTTCTTTTTAATAAAAATACAAATTCATTATTGTTCTTTGACAAATTTTTATTCCACCATTTATTTTCTTTATTTTCTTTCTACATCCTCTTATTTTTAAAATATAGCTTTATACTACTATATATATTTTTATTTAATCAATTTTTTTATAATCAATTAAACAATATATAAATATTGTCAATTTATCACTTTATGCGCGCACGCACACAAATGTATTGTAGTAAAATTCAAATTAAAAGGAATGAAGTTAACAAATAGAAATGAATCCACCTTATTATACAACATGGTATGTAGCCATATCCATGTTATATTTATATTGTTTCAAGAAGGCTTCGGCCAAGTCCCTCCATGTTCGGATAAAGTGCCTCTTCAAGCTCTTGTACCACTTCAGATACACCCAAATCAAACTGTCATGGAAATAATAAATAAACAACTTATCATTTCTTTCATGGGCCTCCATTTTGCATAAGTACACTGTGGATTTTATCTATTCAATGAATTTAAAAAGGTTAAATTCATTTATAATATAGAACCAAGGGAGTAATTTATTGGAGTGAAAGTCACAACGACATCGTTTATCATTACTCTTAGCAATCTCATTCCAGCCATCACCTTTATATTATCTTGGATTTTTAGGTAAAAAATATTACATTATTAAAGTTTATAAATATTTATATTATAAAATGTGTAGTATAATTATCTATTTATTTATTATAAAGGCGTGAGAGGATAATTTTTACTGACAGAAGAAGCCAAACAAACATATTTGGGACTCTAGTTCCTGTTTCAGAATCCATGGCCCTATACTATTTAGAAAGCATGAAGGATTTAGGGAGTCGTTCGGAAGTTCCAACACCCACGATTTTATAATTTGAACGGTTAAGATTTTTATTTCTAGCATTAACGCGTCTCTCTCATGTGATCCTTCAAGTAAGTCACACTTCTAATTTTATCCTAAAAATATTTATATTATCCTTCACTATAGACTATAAAAACAGATATCAGATTAATGCTTGTACTTTATGGGGTAAATCACACAACTAAATTATTAACTTGGTTTTATTTTATTTTATGTCATTTTAAATTACTTACTAAAGTGAAATAACAATATCATATGATTAAATAGACTTATAATTTTTTGCATTGACTACAAATTCTAATTATTTATTATTGAAACAAATTTAATTAAAAACTTATTTACATAAATGGCATATTTTGCTCTGCCATAGCTTACTACATACAAAGTGTAATCATAAAAACCACGGGCCCTGTTTTAACAGCTTCCAGTCCATTATGTCATGTTATGGTTGAAATTCTGAGCCATTTCTTTCTACATGAGCCTGTGTATACCAGAAGGTGATCTTACAGTTCATTTTTCTATTAAATAATAATTCCTTAGATTTTTTTTATCAAAATGAAGTAATTCTATTATAATCATTCTATATATTGTGATATATTTTTTATGACAGATTTTTAACTTTCTTTCTTTTTAATAAAAATACGAATTCATTATTGTTCTTTGACAAATTTTTATTCCACCATTTATTTTCTTTCTACATCCTCTTATTTTTAAAATATAGCTTTATACTACTATATATATTTTTATTTGATCAATTTTTTTATAATCAATTAAACAATATATAAATATTGTCAATTTATCACTTTATGCGCGCACGCACACAAATGTATTGTAGTAAAATTCAAATTAAAAGGAATGAAGTTAACAAATAGAAATGAATCCACCTTATTATACAACATGGTATGTAGCCATATCCATGTTATATTTATATTGTTTCAAGAAGGCTTCGGCCAAGTCCCTCCATGTTCGGATAAAGTGCCTCTTTAAGCTCTTGTACCACTTCAGATACACCCAAATCAAACTGTCATGGAAATAATAAATAAACAACTTATCATTTCTTTCATGGGCCTCCATTTTGCATAAGTACACTGTGGATTTTATCTATTAAATGAATTTAAAAAGGTTAAATTCATTTATAATATAGAACCAAGGGAGTAATTTATTGGAGTGAAAGTCACAACGACATCGTTTATCATTACTCTTAGCAATCTCATTCCAGCCATCACCTTTATATTATCTTGGATTTTTAGGTAAAAAATATTACATTATTAAAGTTTATAAATATTTATATTATAAAATGTGTAGTATAATTATCTATTTATTTATTATAAAGGCGTGAGAGGATAATTTTTACTGACAGAAGAAGCCAAACAAACATATTTGGGACTCTAGTTCCTGTTTCAGAATCCATGGCCCTATACTATTTAGAAAGCATGAAGGATTTAGGGAGTCGTTCGGAAGTTCCAACACCCACGATTTTATAATTTGAACGGTTAAGATTTTTATTTCTAGCATTAACGCGTCTCTCTCATGTGATCCTTCAAGTAAGTCACACTTCTAATTTTATCCTAAAAATATTTATATTATCCTTCACTATAGACTATAAAAACAGATATCAGATTAATGCTTGTACTTTATGGGGTAAATCACACAACTAAATTATTAACTTGGTTTTATTTTATTTTATGTCATTTTAAATTACTTACTAAAGTGAAATAACAATATCATATGATTAAATAGACTTATAATTTTTTGCATTGACTACAAATTCTAATTATTTATTATTGAAACAAATTTAATTAAAAACTTATTTACATACATGGCATATTTTGCTCTGCCATAGCTTACTACATACAAAGTGTAATCATAAAAACCACGGGCCCTGTTTTAACAGCTTCCAGTCCATTATGTCATATTATGGTTGAAATTCTGAGCCATTTCTTTCTACATGAGCCTGTGTATACCAGAAGGTGATCTTACAGTTCATTTTTCTATTAAATAATAATTCCTTAGATTTTTTTTATCAAAATGAAGTAATTCTATTATAATCATTCTATATATTGTGATATATTTTTTATGACAGATTTTTAACTTTCTTTCTTTTTAATAAAAATACGAATTCATTATTGTTCTTTGACAAATTTTTATTCCACCATTTATTTTCTTTATTTTCTTTCTACATCCTCTTATTTTTAAAATATAGCTTTATACTACTATATATATTTTTATTTGATCTATTTTTTTATAATCAATTAAACAATATATAAATATTGTCAATTTATCACTTTATGCGCGCACGCACACAAATGTATTGTAGTAAAATTCAAATTAAAAGGAATGAAGTTACACTACGCCAAAAACAAGTTTTAGCAGCGCCTCTACTAAAGCGCTTATTGAAAAAGCGCTGCCATAGCCTTCACAAAAAACAAAATTAAAAAAAAGGGAAACCTACGAAGGCGCTTTTTTAAAAGCGCTGGCATAGGGTTCCCTACCAAAGCGCTTTTCAGAAAGCGCTTTCATAGGTATTTGAAATATCTAACCTACGAAAGCGCTTTTGAAAAGCGCTTTGGTAGGGAACCCTATGCCAGCGCTTTTGAAAAGCGCTTTGAAAGGGGGACCTACGAAAGCGCTTTTTACCTCAGAAGCGCTTTGAAAGGGGGACCTATGCCAGCGCTTTTTAGAAGCGCTTTCGTAGGTTGTTTTTATAATAAAATTAAAAATCCCTAAATCTTCTTCATTTCTTTCGTTCAGAGCTTCTTCATTTCTTCATTTCTTCATTACAGAAAACGAAACCCAGTTGTTCATCTTCTTCTCCATTCGTCTGCTCCTATTCAAGCTCTCTTCATCCTTCGTCGTCCTCACTTTCATTTCTGTAAAAACCCATCGCCCAACAACGTAACCTCTCACAACAACGTAACCTCTCCTTCGCAAAACCCATCGCCCTCCCCCAACTCATCTCTTCTTTCACCACCCACTCACCTCAACAACCGCCGCATTACATCTCCACCGTTGGATCTTCATCTTCATCGCTCAATCCCTCTCACTGGAACCTCACTCTCCTCCAAGCCCTCGCCGTCGCGGTACCTTACCCTATCTCTCTCTAAATCCAAATCCGTTTTTCAATTTCTCGATTCCTCAATTGATTTTTGTTTTTTTTCAGACAGCGATATTTACGACGTGGCTTTTTCGTTCTGCAGTTCCCACGCTTCTGGTTTGTGTTTTTATAAAGCCTTGTTTGGTAGTATATACAATAGTTTCTGAAATAGCTTAATTTAAAATCTGATATAATCAGAATGTTATTAAATAATAAAGGCTTTCAAGAAGGCAGCGGAATCACTTGAGAAGGTTATGGATACAGCAAGAGAGGAACTTCCTGATACAATGTCTGCAGTTAGATTATCCACCATGGAAATCAGTGACTTAACCTCTGAACTCAGTGATCTTGGGTAATTGCCATTTTTTAAATTCTACTATCTGTATTATTCTTAGGTTAATGGCATTCAAATCAAAATTACAACGACAAACCATTGTTTAGTTTTTGTTTCTGTGATGCAGACAAGAGATTACCCAAGGTGTTAGAAGCTCCACTCGCGCCGTTCGCTCGGTGGAGCAGGGGCTTCGCAGTTTAACCACTATGCCTTCTTCTTCAGGTTACTTACTAAATTAAGAACATGTTACTATGATACAGAGAACCAACATAATAACTAGACAACATTGATATGTGTTGATGTTGATATCGACATGTATCAGACATCACACACACTTTACTTTACTGGAAAGTTTGAGTCTTAACTAGTTGTTAGATTTCTATAATTTGAGTTTGTAAATGAGTTATGAAACTGTTATATTGTGGCTGCAATTGGTGGTAATTTAAAACTATGCCTTTTAAGCAATGTTCTTCATTTGGTTATATATAGCTTCTTTGCTGGGAATGGAATACAGCTCCAATACTGAGCCTGATTCGAGTGCACTAGCGGTGGGAAGAACCGCTAGAGGTATGAGAGAGAGTATTATCAAGGGTCGTTCTATGTTGAAGATGTTTTTCTCCCTTATCAAATTCGTGATATTCTACCGCACAGGTAAAAGTAAAAGTTGTGTTTTTTATTGGACGCATCACTTCAATGTGTTTATTTGGTTAATTAATTCCGTTTTTTGTTATTAAATTTCTTTGTTGTTTTGGTGGGGGTTTTGTTTAGGTTTCCATTTCTTCTAGTGGATAGAGTGATTGAATACAATCCTGGAGTTTCTGCAGTGGCTATTAAGAATGTAACAATAAATGATAACTTCTTTCCTGGACATTTTCCAGAAAGACCTATCATGCCTGGTGTGCTCATGGTTGAGGTAAACACCTTTTTCATTATAAATATATGATTGTGCACTCTTTCGTACCTTTTTAATTTATTCATTTTTTAAAATTATTACTGGTGTCGACATGTCAGCGACGGTGTCATGTTTATGGTGACTGTGCTTCATATTGTGCAAGTATACAATGTTGTGCTTTCTCTGCTATGCTAAACTGTGTGGTTGATTGAATCAAATATTTATGGTTTAAACTTTGAATATCTGTCTATTACAAAGTACTTTCTTTTGGTTGTATACTTAGGAGGTGATGTTGCTCGAATCCTTTCGTTTATTACTCTTAGAACTCATTCTCCGTAAACCTAGATTTTAGAAAAAGATCTATGCAATTATTGAAATGTGGGTGTGATTGCTTGTATTTTGGAGCTATAGCTTTACATAAGAGATAGAGTAGTTACGACGGTTGTGGTTGAGGTTTGTAATTCAGAAAAACATAAGCTAAGCTCTACATTTATATATGAAGATCAATGTGCAACTGTGACAAACTTAATGTTCATATGATCTCAATTGATTGTGAATAGAATATGTATGTTGGTATGGTTCTTACTTGCTCTGTCGGGCTTGCTTCGTATTTCGTTTACGGCTTGTGGTGATGAATGTGATGTGTTTTATGCAGGCACTGGCACGGGTAGGTGGCTTAGTTATGTTACAACCTGAAGTGGGAGGTTCTCGCGAGAATTTCTTCTTTGCCGGTATAGACAAAGTACGGTTTAGGAAGCCTGTGATTGCTGGAGACACCTTAGTTATGAGAATGACACTTATCAAACTGCAAAAGCGATTTGGAATAGCAAAGATGGAAGGGAAGGCATATGTTGGAGGTGAAGTTGTATGTGAGGGTGACTTTTTGATGGCCACAGGATCTTCTAGCGAATAAGTAGAGCAATGAGAGTTGATTTTGCTGCATTTCTTTTATGTTTCTAGCATTTTTTTGTTGTTTAACTCCGGATTTTCATTTGGTATGTTATTGAGCAGAGAATCCAAAAATTTGATTGAGTTAAGAAGATAACTATGTGTACGTGTGGATTGAAGTTTGCAAACCTTAAGTTTGAATGAACTTCAGTTTTGCAAAATCTTAGATGTTGGTATGTTTGATTAATTTAAAGTTGCAGCATGTCGACTTGTTATTATGTTTGTTTGATTAATTTTGTTGAAACACTCACAAATAACTATATAATCAATCCCATATTATAGAAGATTTGTGTCAATATTATATTAAGCAATTTTTCATGTAGGATTTGTGTCGATTTGAACTATAATATTATTGATGTAATGATGTATATATATAATTTTGGATATTATAATGGTATTATATTAGTATATATATTGTCTTACTGATGGCTGAAATAATAGCGTCGAAAATATATTACAGGTCAAAAATATATTACAGGTCGAAAATATTACAGGTCGAAAACATTACAGGTCGACTGGGAGGATTAAATTATAGGCTGCACATAAAAATACCTCATTTAGAAACGACAGCGCTTTTAAAAAGCGCTCTTAAAGGTCCACCTACTAAAGCGCTTCTTAGTAAAAGCGCTGCCAAAGACCAGTAAAAAAGCATAAAAAATTAAAAAAAAACGCAGCATACAAAAGCGTTTTTGGAAAAGCGCTCTTATAGGGGGGCCTATCAGAGCGCTTTTTCCAGAAAAAGTGCTCTCATAGGGGGGCCTACCAGAGCGCTTTTCCAAAAGCGCTTTTGTAGGCTGCGTTTTTTTTTAATTTTTTATGCTTTTTTACTGGTCTTTGGCAGCGCTTTCTGGGAAAAGCGCTCTTAAAGGGGGGGTCTACCAGAGCGCTTTTAGAAGCGCTTTTGTTACCTACGCCAGCGCCAGCTATTAAAGCGCTTTTAAGCGCTTTTAAAGGCCAAAATAAGCGCTTTAAAAGCCCTTTTCCGTAGTAGTGTTAACAAATAGAAATGAATCCACCTTATTATACAACATGGTATGTAGCCATATCCATGTTATATTTATATTGTTTCAAGAAGGCTTCGGCCAAGTCCCTCCATGTTCGGATAAAGTGCCTCTTCAAGCTCTTGTACCACTTCAGATACACCCAAATCAAACTGTCCTGGAAATAATAAATAAACAACTTATCATTTCTTTCATGGGCCTCCATTTTGCATAAGTACACTGTGGCTTTTATCTATTCAATGAATTTAAAAAGGTTATATTCATTTATAATATAGAACCAAAGGAGTAATTTATTGGAGTGAAAGTCACAACGACATCGTTTATCATTACTCTTAGCAATCTCATTCCAGCCATCACCTTTATATTATCTTGGATTTTTAGGTAAAAAATATTACATTATTAAAGTTTATAAATATTTATATTATAAAATGTGTAGTATAATTATCTATTTATTTATTATAAAGGCGTGAGAGGATAATTTTTACTGACAGAAGAAGCCAAACAAACATATTTGGGACTCTAGTTCCTGTTTCAGAATCCATGGCCCTATACTATTTAGAAAGCATGAAGGATTTAGGGAGTCGTTCGGAAGTTCCAACACCCACGATTTTATAATTTGAACGGTTAAGATTTTTATTTCTAGCATTAACGCGTCTCTCTCATGTGATCCTTCAAGTAAGTCACACTTCTAATTTTATCCTAAAAATATTTATATTATCCTTCACTATAGACTATAAAAACAGATATCAGATTAATGCTTGTACTTTATGGGGTAAATCACACAACTAAATTATTAACTTGGTTTTATTTTATTTTATGTCATTTTAAATTACTTACTAAAGTGAAATAACAATATCATATGATTAAATAGACTTATAATTTTTTGCATTGACTATAAATTCTAATTATTTATTATAGAAACAAATTTAATTAAAAACTTATTTACATACATGGCATATTTTGCTCTGCCATAGCTTACTACATACAAAGTGTAATCATAAAAACCAAGGGCCCTGTTTTAACAGCTTCCAGTCCATTATGTCATATTATGGTTGAAATTCTGAGCCATTTCTTTCTACATGAGCCTGTGTATACCAGAAGGTGATCTTACAATTCATTTTTCTATTAAATAATAATTCCTTAGATTTTTTTTATCAAAATGAACTAATTCTATTATAATCATTCTATATATTGTGATATATCTTTTTATGACAGATTTTTAACTTTCTTTCTTTTTAATAAAAATAAAAATTCATTATTGTTCTTTGACAAATTTTTATTCCACCATTTATTTTCTTTATTTTCTTTCTACATCCTCTTATTTTTAAAATATAGCTTTATACTACTATATATATTTTTATTTGATCAATTTTTTTATAATCAATTAAACAATATATAAATATTGTCAATTTATCACTTTATGCGCGCACGCACACAAATGTATTGTAGTAAAATTCAAATTAAAAGGAATGAAGTTAACAAATAGAAATGAATCCACCTTATTATACAACATGGTATGTAGCCATATCCATGTTATATTTATATTGTTTCAAGAAGGCTTCGGCCAAGTCCCTCCATGTTCGGATAAAGTGCCTCTTCAAGCTCTTGTACCACTTCAGATACACCCAAATCAAACTGTCCTGGAAATAATAAATAAACAACTTATCATTTCTTTCATGGGCCTCCATTTTGCATAAGTACACTGTGGCTTTTATCTATTCAATGAATTTAAAAAGGTTATATTCATTTATAATATAGAACCAAAGGAGTAATTTATTGGAGTGAAAGTCACAACGACATCGTTTATCATTACTCTTAGCAATCTCATTCCAGCCATCACCTTTATATTATCTTGGATTTTTAGGTAAAAAATATTACATTATTAAAGTTTATAAATATTTATATTATAAAATGTGTAGTATAATTATCTATTTATTTATTATAAAGGCGTGAGAGGATAATTTTTACTGACAAAAGAAGCCAAACAAACATATTTGGGACTCTAGTTCCTGTTTCAGAATCCATGGCCCTATACTATTTAGAAAGCATGAAGGATTTAGGGAGTCGTTCGGAAGTTCCAACACCCACGATTTTATAATTTGAACGGTTAAGATTTTTATTTCTAGCATTAACGCGTCTCTCTCATGTGATCCTTCAAGTAAGTCACACTTCTAATTTTATCCTAAAAATATTTATATTATCCTTCACTATAGACTATAAAAACAGATATCAGATTAATGCTTGTACTTTATGGGGTAAATCACACAACTAAATTATTAACTTGGTTTTATTTTATTTTATGTCATTTTAAATTACTTACTAAAGTGAAATAACAATATCATATGATTAAATAGACTTATAATTTTTTGCATTGACTATAAATTCTAATTATTTATTATAGAAACAAATTTAATTAAAAACTTATTTACATACATGGCATATTTTGCTCTGCCATAGCTTACTACATACAAAGTGTAATCATAAAAACCAAGGGCCCTGTTTTAACAGCTTCCAGTCCATTATGTCATATTATGGTTGAAATTCTGAGCCATTTCTTTCTACATGAGCCTGTGTATACCAGAAGGTGATCTTACAATTCATTTTTCTATTAAATAATAATTCCTTAGATTTTTTTTTATCAAAATGAACTAATTCTATTATAATCATTCTATATATTGTGATATATCTTTTTATGACAGATTTTTAACTTTCTTTCTTTTTAATAAAAATAAAAATTCATTATTGTTCTTTGACAAATTTTTATTCCACCATTTATTTTCTTTATTTTCTTTCTACATCCTCTTATTTTTAAAATATAGCTTTATACTACTATATATATTTTTATTTGATCAATTTTTTTATAATCAATTAAACAATATATAAATATTGTCAATTTATCACTTTATGCACGCACGCACACAAATGTATTGTAGTAAAATTCAAATTAAAAGGAATGAAGTTAACAAATAGAAATGAATCCACCTTATTATACAACATGGTATGTAGCCATATCCATGTTATATTTATATTGTTTCAAGAAGGCTTCGGCCAAGTCCCTCCATGTTCGGATAAAGTGCCTCTTCAAGCTCTTGTACCACTTCAGATACACCCAAATCAAACTGTCATGGAAATAATAAATAAACAACTTATCATTTCTTTCATGGGCCTCCATTTTGCATAAGTACACTGTGGATTTTATCTATTCAATGAATTTAAAAATGTTAAATTCATTTATAATATAGAACCAAGGGAGTAATTTATTGGAGTGAAAGTCACAACGACATCGTTTATCATTACTCTTAGCAATCTCATTCCAGCCATCACCTTTATATTATCTTGGATTTTTAGGTAAAAAATATTACATTATTAAAGTTTATAAATATTTATATTATAAAATGTGTAGTATAATTATCTATTTATTTATTATAAAGGCGTGAGAGGATAATTTTTACTGACAGAAGAAGCCAAACAAACATATTTGGGACTCTAGTTCCTGTTTCAGAATCCATGGCCCTATACTATTTATAAAGCATGAAGGATTTAGGGAGTCGTTCGGAAGTTCCAACACCCACGATTTTACAATTTGAGCGGTTAAGATTTTTATTGCTAGCATTAGCGCGTCTCTCTCATGTGATCCTTCAAGTAAGTCACAATTCTAATTTTATCCTAAAAATATTTATATTATCCTTCACTATAGACTATAAAAACAGATATCAGATTAATGCTTGTACTTTATGGGGTAAATCACACAACTAAATTAATAACATGGTTTTATTTTATTTTATGTCATTTTAAATTACTTACTAAAGTGAAATAACAATATCATATGATTAAATAGACTTATAATTTTTTGCATTGACTATAAAGTCTAATTATTTATTATAGAAACAAATTTAATTAAAAACTTATTTACATACATGGCATATTTTGCTCTGCCATAGCTTACTACATACAAAGTGTAATC